AAATGACTGAAAATTGCAAACTTCGCAAGGCTATATTATCTGCATTTTACAACATTTCGCAACGAAACTTTGGAATATTACTAATTTTGTGATGCTCTTTCAAGCTGTGATGAAATTTTTGTCTAGACTTGTTTAGATCAAAATTTAGTCTATTACGCAAATGGTCAATTGAATTAGCTGTATTCGCTGGAAAACATATGGGACTCTGTCCACAAGCTTCAATAGCGAGTTTTCGTATTGGCAATTATTATTTCTTCAATGAAGCAATTATGTTTTCAGAACAATCTCTAAGACACAAGACGTAGTGATGTCAATATTTGATGCAATTTTGTTTACTGTAAGGGGATGAAATGAAATGCTATTCTTGGTAGAATGAAAAGAGCTATGATTTTTAGTAGTTATAAAACATTTGATTTCAGGGTGGTGTACATTTCCTGCTGAAAACACACAAATATTTTGACATATGACACACTTCAATTAAAACCCATTAACAGTATATTCACCATTTTCAGCGTGGTTATAACTCTGTGGTATGACCCTAGTGCTGTCTTTGAGAGGCAGCCGAATATGTTGCTCAGATTTCCATGCCTCAGCAGCTAATCTTGGTTTTTTCTCATAAGCCTCTTCCTCATTTTCCAACAATTTTCTTTTCTTTTTACTGGACTTTGAATCCTTTCTGAAATTAATTAAAACATGTACAGTCGAACCGTATCCTCGTTCCCAGGGCCTCTCTGCCGCATCGGCCTACATGCAACATTCATAGGCCTGGGATACATGGAACCAGAAGTGCAATCTGAAAATTTGCCAAGTAGTTTCTAATTAGCGCATACTCTTGAACAGGGACGCTTCAGCACCAATAACAATTTTCACAGAGAAGTATTACGAAGAGAATAATTTTGCCCAGCAAAAACTGCTGAACTTCTGGGAAATAGCAGCTCTCTGAGAAGCCAATCCTTTAGGAACTTAATTTTTAACCATTGACCTAGTGAAAATGGCTCTGGGGACAAGAATGAGTCAAACCCCTATTAAGCCCAAGCTTGTTCCCAGGCTCTTATCTCTTGGAGGAAAGACTCTAGTAGGAGCTGGTCATGTGATCTGCAGCAGATTTTCAATAGATGATGATGATAAATATTTGATATTTATACTTTAATTTATAAGTTGCATTTTGTTTTGCAAGTTTGATTTTAAAGGAATTCAAGATAGTTAATTAGCAGATAATGTGTCCAGCTCCTACCGAGGAACAAGGTTGTATTAAACCAACACCTTGGCAAACTCAGATTCCTGTATTAAATATTTGAAAACTTACTCTTGCAAATCAACAGAAGTCAAAAACTTGAAGTCAGTATGAGATTGGTAAAACACGCCGAGATCACCATCGTCCATATCACTTTCTTCCTCACGGTCCTCATCGGAATGCTGCTTCCTGATTGGCTCATAATCATCCAGGTTGCCAACATATTTTTGCTGGCCATCATCCTCTTTCAGTTTCTTTATGCCAGCTACCCTGCTTGCACAACTTTGCTTTCCTTTTGCGCGTTTTTTGCCCGTTTGTTTATGCTTCGGTTTTGCTCTGCCTTTCTTTGCCTGGGGCAATGATGTAAAACTCATTTTAGCAGAAGATTATAGAAGATGAAGATATTTCTAGCAGACCATAGCTTGTGTCACAGACCTTACTTTTAAATAAGGGTCTGTAAAACAGGCCAGGCCATTATGGTATGGATCTTGTAGATAGAAATTATCAAGTGGAAATTTATATACATTTATTAGACCTAACCAGGAACAACTGAACAAAATGCAACTATAGGTCTGCGGCAGGAATAAAACCTGTGGCCCTGCGATTCACATGCCCCACCATCTACAAGGTCCATGTGAGATGCCAACAAAATCTTGATATTTACCCACTGGGCTAGGGTATTGTACTTTTTATCACCATCATTATGGCATACTACATCCTCAACTCATCCGATTGGTGGAAATTGTGTTGTAGATGGGTATACAACCAATTTTACAGTCCGGTTGATATGCCTGGGAACAAGTAGATCAGTTATGAACGTTCTGTGTATAAAGTGGAGTAACTAAACTATTTTTCCCACTTACAATTAGGGCAAAGTTAGACATAAAAATCAGTTGCCCGGAATAAACTTCGCTTGCTGATCCAGTTTTGCACTCGCATATTTATAGCAAAATTTGAAGCAAATGATTGCATGAGCATAAGGATTGATTAATCAACATTCTAATCCTATGTTTTTCTAAGAAAGTCATTTGAAGACTTGGCCATGAAGTGCTGATTTCAGCTGGTTTACTAACAAAGGATCGAAGGTAGAATGCATGTACCATAAACAAGCACACATAATTTTAGCACGTGTTACTGTGTTTAATAGTGCTATAAAGCTACATCACTGTATGTGTACCCACATAACTCATACACACTTCCCATCAGAAGAACAAAATCACATCTAATTATAAAATCGAAGTGTAAACGAGCATACAATCTGATCAAAGGTAGTGTAGATTATTAGATTTTAAAATAGTAGATACCATCATACCGTGGTGATCATCAGGTTAAAATAACTAAATAAGCGCGATCAAATGCAATTCATATGCTATTTATCTTCAGATCTTTATTAACGAAAATAATACTACGTATCTTACCATATTTTGCTCCTTAAAACTCCATACTTTCTCAAAAATCCCTAAAAATACGTAAAACTACACGGTATAAAATGTATCAAAAGATCAAAATTAAGCGGCCATATTGTTTTTAACACTGATCTGATAGTATAACTGGATGAACTGTCTATTTCAGGATTTGGGTTAACCTGAGTATCAGGCTCTATTCGCCTCCGCCAATTAATCCTGGCGAATGAAAACATAAGGGCCTGATACTCAGGTTAGATTTGGGGCATCTCAATCGGTTGAAGTATTAATTTTGAAGGATTTTGTAGATTTCTATTTCGAATGGAGGAGGAGTGTCGCGCCTGGAATCGCAGCGGAGGTTGCAGGTGTAAACAGTGTTTACATTATATAGCCTTATTTATGCACTGTTACGCACTTATGTTATTGTATATATACTTGTTATACACTGATCACCGATTGATACCAGCCAATCTATGTAATTGACTGAACGGTCTTTTTTATCAGTATAAATAAAGATTTTATTATTATTATTAAAGCAAAACACTCTTTCAACATTAGTTCAATCGAGTGAGATGCCTAAAATCGTGATATCTACCTACACACCTTACATTGGCATATCACCTAAGTATTTATACATGAATTTGTGGTTAGAGCTCGACAACTGCCCTCTCAGTAGCTCAGTTGGTTAAAGCTCGACAAATTCCACTCGAAAATTTTCCACCCACAAATCCACGCCCAACAATGGGGTGTAACAGTCGTTGGGTCGTGAATGTACGCTGCTCGGGAAACACCTATAATAATAATAAAAGCATCTACTTAAACAACCAACCAATCAAAACACGCCAATAAAAGAACGGAAAAACCGTCGGAACACACGCCATCAAATTCTTGCGGTACGGTAAACTGTGCAAAGTACCCAAGCATTACTGAAAGAAAAATGCATAATGTAACAAGGTGTCCTTTCGTAAAAATGCTCTTCCAAGAGGCCATGTAAAAAAATCTAAACTTAAAAAATTTACATGCATTTGATATCAAATTTGATTTACTATGTCAAGCATCCTTAAAGGCAATCAACGTTTCTGTGATCACCGATCCAGTTTCCTCAAACATTTCAAAACGTAAATTGTACCTATGCAAAATTCCTACTGAAACTTTCTGAGATCACAGAAACTTTGACAGTGTAAAGCCCCGTTTACACTACACTCAATTTTTGGTACGGCACGGTTAAAATTGGTACCCGTACCACTTTTTTGGTTCTTGGACTAACTACTTAGCTAAGCCCCGTTTACACTACGCTCAATTTTTGGTACCGTACCACTTTTTGGTTCTTGGACTACCTAAATAGGTAGTCCAAGAACCAAAAAAGTGGTACGGGTACCAATTTTATCCGTGCCGTACCAAAAATTGAGCGTAGTGTAAACGGGGCTTAAAACGTACAGCCTTAACTATTAAAGTCTTATTTTTCAACTCATTGGGACGATCATAGGCATAGCAAATTAATTAGTTTACTTTAATTTGCTTTTGCTGCAAAAAATCAATTAATATCTGGCAACTTGACAATGAACACGACTTTATCAAGATGGGGTGCTGGGAACTTTTCTATTAGAAAGATATACTGTATAATTACATTTCTTTTCGGAATGACACAAATACAGTATTAGCCGTGTATTAACCGTACACCAAAAATTGTATTGAGGTACAGGTGCATTTTAATCTCTTTTCCCCCTGGGCCGTAGGAAGCTCTTTTCGATTGGGGAAAGGGGGGAGGGGGTTGAAAAAAAGGGCCGAAGGTCCGAGGAAATGTTTAAATTTAGAGTCTCTGAAATGCCATTTCTTGGACTTTGGGGAAGATTTAACAGAATTCTGATGGTCAGAAAACAGGGTAGTGTTTGAAACCTGGCCACTTATGAGAATATGCTATTCTAAAGCACATAATATAATAAAATATAACTATGTTAAAATATATGTATATTTAACCACTGTTCAGATGATTGGGTTACTTGTTTTTTCCACTTCGTCTATTCAGTAATTCCTTTCGCAGCCAATACTTCCTGCACTCTTCTCATGTAGTGTATGTCATGAAAAATTCTACAATGACAATTAATGGAAATAAATATAGGAAGTGGTTACTGCTAAATGATCTGCTTTGTTTGTACATGCGCATAGTTTTTGCCTGTGACTATTCAAGGACTATTTTGAGGTGCAGCGTTGCACACTTTGTCCAGTATTGATTGAAAAGTGTGCAATATTGAACGTGTTGGTGTGCGCGATATGGGAAATTTTCATTTTCAACTTCGTATTACAAGACAGTGCTCCAGAAACGTCGGACAATGGCGAAGGCCACAAAGCCTGATCCTTGCACTGCTGTCTGCGCCTTCGTAAAATGTGATCACAGTTCCTTCCACCACCACTGCATGCAGTAAATTAATAAAAAAAATCACTACTATATTTCCTGATCAAATGGCATACCCATTCTCTTAAGTGTGCACTGCTAAAAATTCTTAAAATAGGCACTGTAACTATACTTAACATGCATGTGCCAACTTATGACATCCGAGTACGTAACCACGAAACCTGACAAAAATATGAATTATGCATGAGTATGACCGTTTATATTCATGTTTATTCACACAAAAATCTGTACGGGCAGCTGTGCGAGAATTAGCGCGGTTTCATGCATCCAGTGTAAACAGTACCGAAGGCGAATTCGTGCCGGAAATTTGAGTACGCCTGAGTATACGGTATTTTGAATTCACCCTCACTTGTATACACGAAACTTTAGTGAAGAGCATGCATACATTGTAAGATTTTCTCCTTAATAAAACTACAGTGCTAAACAATGATTTGTTAATAGTGTGATATTATAGTTAACAGTAAATGCACACAACACGAGTAGTTTTAGTTACCCTGTGGTGTCATGAGGAATATCCGTGAACATGGCAATATCTTCCATCCCCGTTAACGATCGTCCAATGGTAAACGTCAATTTTTTATCAAAAGCTTTCCTTAAAAGTCTAAGAACTTTGTGGCCTTCTGTGTTGTTAGGAAGATAAGCATTTACATTTTTCCCCTTGTATGGCTTGCCAGGATTAGGATAATCTGGTCCTTGGATCCCATTTGGAAACTCGTAAGTTATGACAATTGAAGGACTGTATGGTAATGCAGAATAAACCATTGTCCCTTCTGGTTGATTGCCAGTGAGAGAACGATAAGCCTGGTTGCAAGTTGGACATTGTCTCTTCACTTTAAAAGCCTTGTCAATGCACTTGGTGCAAAATGAATGACCACATTTATCCAAGGTTTTCTTGTTGGTAAATGGACGAAAACAAATGGAACATTTGTGGTCTTTCGACAGTTTGATATTGGCTGCTGCTTGAGCTAGCTCTGAACCTAATCAGAAAATATGTGTCAGTCATATTGCCACAAAGTGCATAAACATTGCACTATTTGAATATACTGGTATATATTTTAGAAGAAGATGCTACATTAAAACACATAACTCATTGGAAAAAACTATTTTCTTTCTCAATCTCTTCAATAAATTATAAAATTAAAAACATATCTATCTTAACGGAATATACTACAATTTAGTGCATATTCCGTAAGTACTTTATGATCAGTCTAGATTGATGTGGCAAAGGTCAGTTTGATAAAAGAAGAGTTTCTATCACTTATACTAAGCTATCCTGAGTAAATAAAGCTAGTTTGGTTTAGCTTGCCTCTGCAGTACCGGACTTCTAGGAATTAAGGACTGCTCAGAATTCTATGTCTATGCCTGCCCATCCTAATACGCCCCCCCCACCCCTGCATCTGTCGGGCATTTAACATTTAGAGGGAAAAACGTTGCAAATGCCCCATCGTTAGGTCAAAATAGTGATACAAAACCCCCACCTTTCCAGACTTGAAATTGATGCAAATGCCTCACTCTTGGGACACTGATAACAGTTTTCTGGGTAGCAAATTAATATTGATAACATTTCTAGTACTGGTTAAGTTTTCGAAAAATAAGATCTGATTAGTGCCAGTTGTATATCTCGCATTTTATACCCCCAATTTAATCAAGGCAGATCATACATATAACAAAAAGTACTGTACAAAAGATCTGTTATTTCACTAAAAATTGAGAAACACAGCAGCCAGTCAAAAACTTATATCAACTGCAATCGTCTAGCTTGTAGTTGTATTGCTGCATCACAACTACAAGCTCAAAAAGTATGTTTGCATGGTTTAACTTTAGGATATACCTCTTGAAGTATAACACTACAGACTCCAATTTACGATTTTAATTCCTAACAAGTTTTTAATCCCTAACAAGTCTACATCTAGTATAAGTAATAAGAGCTTTAAAAAGCTCTTATACTGGACGTAGACTTGTTAGGGCTAAAAAAGGATACAAAAGCTACTTAATTTAAGATATTTAATAATGACCAGTTTCTTACCAGTATCTTTATTTTCTGTATTTACTTCTCCCATATAGTTTGCCAAGACCGTGGCAATCTCTTCATTCAATGGTTCCTTGTCAGTGCAGGGTGTGTAGCTGAACTTTGGAACGCGTACTGGTGCTTTAAGATATGCTGGACGTCTTGCTAGGAGATTATTGGCGTTATCTAACATCATTTTCTGCGAGGATATGATTTCTTCTTCCGTGCCACTGTCAACCAATTTTCTGGAAAGTTGAACAGAACGAGATATCTGTTCAGTATATACCTTCGTTTCTTCTGTCTGCCCATCCAACTTTGCCCGTTCACCGCCATGGATCTGGTCTACTTCATTTAAAAGCGTTGCAGCCTTTTGTTCTACCAGTTCAGCCAGCTTTTGAATCACGGTATCTTTTCGTTGTAGAATTTTACTCTTGGCATTTTCAGCATCGCGATCGAGTTGTTTGGTCGCAGCGGATAATTTTCTAAGGTGAGCATTGCCTTCGTTTAAAGCAGAATCCACTGCCTTGTTTTTCGAGGCAAGTTTCTCCTTGTAGTTGTTTGCTACGTCCTTGACAAGAAAACAAGAATGATTTGGCTTCGTGTGCTTAAAATCCATACAATCCTTACAAATCAGCTTGTCGCACGTCTCGCAGTAAACTTTTAATTCCATGCCCGAATGCTCATTGCAATACATTTTGCCACGAATTTTCTTCCGATTTTCAGGCTTTGATAACTCCTCCATCGTTAGCACAGAATGACCATCGTTCGCTCGATAATTATTATGAGCAGTGAGACATTGCTGGCATAGAAATTTTTCACAGGTGACGCAACGAGCAACCGAGCGGCTTTTATTACAATTATGCGAACAGGGAACACCGATTCCATGATTCAGCACGGCTGTCGCTTCAACCATATTACAGATGAAATGATTCCTTGGCATATCAGCCACTTTCTTGTTAGGCTCGAGGGTGAACGTCTCCCGACAATTGGGGCAGTGAAATTGTCGAATTGGTCGATCGTGAGGTGCTTTGCCACGACATGTTGCAACAACGCCTTCGAGGCAAACTTTACAGAACGAATGGAAGCAAGGAAGTGTTCTGGGATCTCTTAACGGCTCGAGACAAACAGAACATTGTAGATTTTCTTGAAGTTGGTAAATCGGGTCGATTTCTAAGGCATAAGCCATTCGAAATGGGAAAATTTAGAAGCAGATTCTTTGTGCACTGTACGTAGATCTTCGCTTTTAACCTTGCTGAGAGGTTTCGTTCTGTATGAATAATCACGTACATGACGTGACCTTCCCTTCTAAGAATGCGTATTCCTGCTGAATTATACATGAAACTACGCTATCGAATTACAATTGTGAGAAAATTATTTGTATGCGTCTGAACTTTGATGCATAATTATTATGCTGAAACATGGTGCTTTTAGTCTTTTACACTCTGATTCGAGTGCTTTTAGTCTTTTACACTCTGATTCGATTCAAGCCTGATTCGAGTGCTATATATTGGCACACTGTTATATAGGCATGTAAATTTAAGTGAAGTGAAAATCGCTTACTATACTGATTATCGAAAAAGGAAATCTAATAGTATTGTGATGGAATTTGCGATTGGTTTTGAAACGAGTATTTATACATACACGCCGCACTTAATTAATATAGTTGTTACACTGCGAACCGTGTGGTTGCATGGTTCTAGCCAAAGTAGCGCAGGTCAAGGTATTCGTGCTTGCGACTTCTAAGGCGTGAGCCATTTTAAACGAAATACTTCGCAGTAAATCCTTCGTACACTACAAAACTTTGTGATAAAAATACCAAAGGGAAACCTTGTACGCTGGTATATGCTGTTCGGGGAAACGATTATACGTATACATTCACTTATACTTAAACCAGAGTACCAAATTAAGTGAACTGTGGACGGTTGGTCAGTTTCCACGATGCCTATTTGAAGATACTACAATCATGGACAAAGATGGTAATAAAATAGATGGGAATTTTAGGACTGAATATATATTCAATTAACTTCATTAGCTTTTTGCCCCCCGCTCCCCCACCAAATGTTGCCATTATTTTCCCCACATTTTAAACCTATTCAACAACATTGTCTCGGGTAAGATACAGGAATCAAACTACAATTTAAACTGTCACAGAGACAGAGCAATATTGTATTGACAACCTACAATGTACGTTTTTTGCAGGTTTGCATGACGATAAAACATATAATATACTTTTTGTTAATTTGTGGAAACACCACGTAAATTTATTACTGCAAAGCTTTTGTCCGTAAGTCCGGATCTTCATCAGTACTAATAATATATGCATGTATATTATTATTATTATTATTATTATTATTATTATTAGCACTGATGAAGATCCGGGCTTACGGAACATTGCATGTATAATAATAATAATAAAAGCATTTGTTTAAACAATCAATCAATCAATCAAGCTTTATTAAAAAGACATAATGTAACATGGTGTCCTTTCGTAAAAATGCTTTTCCAAGGAGCCATGTCAAAAAAATCTAAATGTAAAAAATTTACATGCATTTGACATCAAATTTGATTTACTATGTCAAGCATCCTTAAAGGCTGGATTACACTTGACTATGAAAGATTCTGTGATCACCGAGCCAGTTCCCTCAAACATTTCTTACAAACCTTCAAAACGTAGCTTTTACCTATGCGAAATTCCTACTGAAACTTACTGAGATCACAGAAACTTTGAGAGTGCAAAGCAGCCTTTACTATTGCAGTCTTATTTTTCAGCTCATTGCCATTGGGACGATCATGCATGGCAAATTAATTAGTTTACTCTTGTTTTTGCTACAAAAAAAAATTTAATATCTTGCAACTTTGACAATGAACTTGAGCTTATCAAGTTGGGGTCCTGAGGACTTTTCTATTAAAACGATATACTGTATAATTACATTTCTTTTCGGAATGACACAAATACATTATTAGCTGTATTACCTGTATACCAAAAATTGTATTGGAGGTATAGGTGCATTTTAATCTCTTTCCCCCCATACCTTTTGGGCAGTGTTTGAAACCTGATCACTCATGAGATTATGCTATTCTAATAATTATGTTAAAATATATGTATATTTAACCACTGTTCAGATCACTGGGTTACTTGTTTCTTCCACTTCGTCTATTCAGTAATTCCTTTCGCAGCCAATACTTCCTGTACTCTTCTCATGTAGGCTGTGTCAGGATACCTATACAATAACAATTATTAAAGTAATAAATATTGGGAGTGATTACGCCTAATGATTTGCTTTGTTTGCATGTCCATAGTTTTTCCCTGTAACTATATTCAAGGTTTATTTTGAGGTGAAGCATTGCACACTTTGTCCAGTGTGATTGATTGAAAAGTGTGTAGTATTGACGTGTTGGTGTGCGCAATATGGAAAATTTGAAATTTTCATTTTCAACTTCGTGTTACAAGACAGAGTTGAACAATGGCGAATCGTCGAGCTGAATGGCGAAGGCCACAAAGGGACAGACAAAAGAGTGGTGCAGGACACAGCTAGCTTTAATCACATGCAAAGATGGACTTCGATGATCTGGTTTCTGCACTTCACTTGGTAATATTAGAATGCTGTTTTTTAGGATTTGTAATCCAAGTGAGTATATATACACTTTAAGACCCGACCAGGAACGACTGCGAAAAATGCAGCACAAGGTCCTCTGGTAGGAATTGAACCTACGGCCCTGTGATTCCGGTGCAGCGCTCTAACGGTTACAGCTCAACAGCTGGCCTCTGTATAGCTCAGTTGCAACTGAGCTACAGAGGCCAGCTGTTGAGCTGCAACCGTAAGTTCATGTGCATATACTGCATGTATGTGATCGGGTGTGCGTATTGTGATAAGGTGGACTTCAATGATCTGGTTTCTGCACTTCACTCGATGATATTAGAATGCTGTTTTTTTAGGGTTTGTAATCCAAGTGAGTATATTTGTATATATACAGTACACAAATTAATCCGGTTCAATTTGTTCACAATAAAATTTGTACGGTCAGCTGTGCGTGTGAATGCGGAAGGCGAATTCGTGCAAATTTGGTTTTGAAATTGCCCTGACCTGCATGTGTAAATGAAGCTTAGTGAAGAGCATGCATACATATGTGTAAAATTTTCTCCTTAATACAACTACGGTACTAAACAGTGATCTGTTAATAGTGTGATCTTATAGCTAACCGTAAATGCACACAATATGAGTAGTTTTAGTTACCCTAACGTATTATGAGGAATATCCGTGAACATGACAACATCTTCAATCTTCGTTGACGATCGTCCAATGGTAAACGTCATTTTTTTATTAAAAGCTTTCCTTAAAAGTCTAAGAACTTTGTTCCCTTCTCCGTTGTTAGGAAGATACGCCTTTACACTTGTCCCTTTATATGGCTTGCCAGGGTTAGGATGATCTGGTCTTTGGATGCCATCTGGAAACTTGTAAGTTATGATAATAAAATCACTGAATGCTGTTGAATAAATCATTTCCCCCTCTGGTTGATTGCCAATAAGAGGACCATAAGCCTGGTTGCAAGTTGGACATTGTCTTTTCACTTTAAAAGCTTTGTCAATGCACTTAGTGCAAAATGAATGACCACACTTATCCAAGGTTTTCTTGTTGGTAAATGGACATAAACAAATGCAACATTTCTCGGCTGCAGTTTCAGGCTTTGGACCTGGCACAGAAAATATGCGTCAGTCATGTTGCCATCGACATTGCACTACTTGGATATACTGGTATATATTTCAGGAGAAGATGTTACATTAAAGAGCATGTCACGTTGGATATAACTATTTTTTCTGAATCTCTTCAACCAACTATAAAACTAAGAACATCTATCTTAATGTTATCATTCACTACAGTTTAGTGCATATTTCGTAAGCACTTTATGATTCTAGATTGATGTGGCGAAGATCAGTCTGATAAAAAGATTTTTTATCACGTACGCTATATAAAGCTATACAATGCAACCGTAACTCCGAATAAGGTAAGCATTTTGATTCAACGTTTCGACTTTATTTTTAGTCATCATCAGGAATGATTATATTACATGTGCATGCGTTATATATACTCTGCGTAATTTGATATATAATTAAAAGAAAACCGATAGAACTGAATCATGGGACTAAAGCATCCAGAGAACTATCGGTTTTCTCTTAATTAGTATATCAAATTACGTAGAGTATATATAACGCATGCACATGTGATATAATCATTCCTGATGATGACTAAATAAAGTCGAAATGTTGAATCAAAATGCTTACTTTATTCGGAGTTACCGTTGTATTGTATTTTATGAAAATAAGCTCAGTGATTCCCGCAATTATATAAAGCTATCCTGTGTAAATAAAGTTAGTTTGGTTCAGCTTGCCCCTTCAGTATCGGATTTCTAGGAATTAATGACTGCACAGAATTCTATGCCTGCCTATCCTAACACCCCACCCCCCGCATCTGTCGGGCATTAACATTTAGGGAAAAAACGTTCCAAATGCCCCATCGTTGGGTCAAAAAAGTGATACAAAACCCCCGTTAACTAAAATAACAGTTTTCTGCATGGGTAGCAAATTAATATTGATAATATCTCGAGTACTGACTAAATTTCCGAAAAATAAGATTTGATTAATGTCAGCTGTACCCCGCATTTTACCCCAATTTAATCAGATCTTCCATGTAACAAAAAGCACTGTACTTAACATAACAAAAGATCTGTTATTTCCTAAAAATTGAGAAACACAGCAGTTTCAAAAACTTATATAAACTGCAATAGTCGAGCTTGTAGTTAACATTACAGACTCCAATAGCTAAGGGATTAAAGCTCTTACTGGACGTAGACTTGTTATGGCTAAAAAAGGATACAAAAGCTACATTATTCATGATGTTTAATAATGGCCAGTTTCTCACCAGTATCTTTATTTTCTGTATTAACTTCTCCCATACAGTTTGCCAAGACCGTTGCAATCTCTTCATTCAATGGTTCCTTGTCAGTGCAGGGACTGTAGCCGAACTTTGGAACGCGTACTGGTACTGGACGTTTTGAAAGGAGATTATTGGCGTTATCCAACATCATTTTCTGCGAGGATATGATCTCTTCTTCCGTGCCACTGTCAACCAATTTTCTGAAAAATTGAACAGAATGAGATATCTGTTTTGTATATGCTTTCGTTTCTTCTGTCTGTCCATCCAACTTTACCCGTTCGCCGCTGTGGATCAGATCTACTTCGTTTAAAAGTGTTGTAGCTTTTCGTTTCACCATTTCGGTGACTTTTTTTATCACGGCATCTTGACGTTGTACAATTTTATCTTTGGCATTCTGAGCATCGCGCTCGAGTTGTTTGGTCGCCGCGGATAATTTTCTGAGGTGAGCATTGCCTTCGTTTAAAGCAGAATCCACTGCCTTGTTTTTCGAGGCAAGTTCCTCCTTATACTTGCTTGATACATCCTTGACCAGAAAACAGGAATGATTTGGCTTCGTGTGCTTAAAATCCATACAATCCTTACAAATCAGCTTGTCGCACGTGTCGCAGTAAACTTTAATTGTCTTGCCCGAATGCTCATTGCAATACATTTTGCCACGAATTTTCTTCCGATTTTCTGGCTTTGATAACTCTTCCATCGTTAGGACAGAATGACCATCGTTTGCTCGATAATTATTATGAGCAGTGAGACATTGCTGGCATAGAAATTTTTCACAGGTGACACAACGAGCAACCGAGCTTTTGCTACAATTATGCGAACAGGGAACACCAATTCCACGATTCAGTACGGCTATCGCTTCGACCATATTGCAGATGAAATGATTCTGCGGCATATCGGCGACTTCCTTGTCGGGCTCGAGGGTGAACAACTCGCGACAATTCGGGCATGGAAATTGACGAATTGGTTGGTCACGAGGTGCTTTATCACGACATGTTTTAACTACACCTTCGAGACATACTTTACAGAAGGAATGGCAGCAAGGAAGGGTTCTGGGGTCTTTTAATACCTGCAGACAAACTGAACATAGTAGATTTTCTTCGAATTGATCGACTGGGTCGACTACTAAGGCGTGAGCCATTTTAAACAATGCAATTTCAGAGTGAATCCTTCGTACACTGTAATTGTAAATCTTCGTTATAAACCTTGTTCAGAGGTTTCCGTTTGTATGAATATTCACATGACGTGACCTTCCCTTCTACGAATGCGTTATATTCCTGGTAAATTATTCAACTAAACTATCGAATTACAATGTGTAAATCCGTTCAATCGTCAGAAAATTATTTGTATGCGTCTGAACTTTGAGCCATATTTTTTAATATATCAGACAGCATTTGTTCCCAGAATCATTGCCAGTATAAATTTCTAGCTTTCTCCTGCAGCCTTATGACATGTTTCGACCGATGATACGCGGTCTTGTTATCTATCCGACATTCACTGGAACATGGTGTTTTTACAGCCTGATCATATTCTACGAAGATATGATACTCATCACATGACGTGACCTTCCCTTCTACGAATGCGTTATATTCCTGGTAAATTATTGAACCAAACTATCGAAGTACAATGTGTAAATCCGTTTAATCGTCAGAAAATTATTTGTATGCGTCTGAACTTTGAGCCATAATTTTTAATATATCAGACAGCATTTGTTCCCAGAATCATTGCCAGTATAAATGTCTAGCTTTCTCCTGCCTTATGACACGTTTCGACCAATGATACGTCTTGTTATTTATCCGACATTCACTGGAACATGGTGTTTTTACAGCCTGATCATATTCTACGAAGATATGATACTCTGGACACTAAACAAAAGTCATTGTATTATGTTTTTGTTTTGAGTTTATGTTAATTTGTACACGGTCACGGTGATTGAACTCATTATATTTTTGTATAAAAAAGTAATCGCCCAATATTAAGGATAGCTGAGATGAAACGTGCAACCACAATGAGTAATATTTAATAAAGCCTGATTCTCATAAGTCGCCGACGTCGGCGATGCCATTGTTTGAGATCAGTGAAGAAGAACATAGACAAAAGATTTTACTCATCAATGACCAACAACAATGGGCATCGCCGACGTCGACGACATATGAGAATTAGGCTTTAAGCCTGGTTCACATTGATCGTAAACATCGGCGATGCCCATTGTCGGTGGTAATTGTGCATAAAATGTTTTGTGCATTTTCTTCTTCGTTGCTCACAGACAATGGATCGTAGAACATCGCCGATCAATGTGAATCAGGCTTTAAATCGAGATTTGTGCACGGTGAGGTACAGTTCAACATCAAACAAAGGCCTTCTATATTTTGTGGTTTTGAAGTTTTCCGGGTTTCCAGACCATCATATCTTGACAGACTATGGCCTGATTCAAGTGCTATATAGATTGGCACACTGTCAGTATGCATGCAAAGTGAAGTAAAAATCGCTTAGTACGACTAATAACAAGGAGAGGAAATTTAACATTAGAGAGGTTAAGATACCCCGGTTTCGGTTTATACACGTACCCGTACCCGTAAATCGGGGAATAACTTGTAACTTAAGAAATCCAAGATACTCCGGCGTGAGAAAACCGATCAGAGAATGGTAAGTTTCGCTATTGAGGTTCGCCATAGATTGTTGAAAACTTTGACTAGCATATGTGCATTATTTATTTGGGTAAAACTGTTGAAAAATGTTACTATTTAAAGCCCCGTTTACACTACGCTCAATTTTTGGTACGGCACGGATAAAATTGGTACCCGTACCACTTTTTTGGTTCTTGGACTACATATTTAGGTAAGCCCCGTTTACACTACGCTCAATTTTTGGTACCGTACCACTTTTTGGTTCTTGGACCAAGAACCAAAAGAGTGGTACGTGTACCAATTTTATCCGTGCCGTACCAAAAATTGAGCGTAGTGTAAACGGGGCTTAAAAGGCCCACAAATAGTAAACAGAAAACATCCGTGCCCGTTTGTCTTTTACGTGTAGACCATGGTTTACCGCGGGGAAACGGGTAGAAATTACGGGTAAAAATGCTGACATCAGTAAAAATTGGTAAACAAAATGGCGATACTCATACCCGTAAATCGGAATCGGGGTATCTTAACCTCTCTATTATTTTGATGGAAATCGGTCTTGGGTCAACTGAAATGTGTATTTATGCATTGCACGCGCCTGCCGGATTGAATTTATAAGCCACCTCTCAGTTACGCTTGTGTTCCGTCCTAGGCCAGTCTTTAGCCGTTATTACACTGCGAGCCGTATGATTGGTTCTAGTTAAAGTAATGGAATGTCAAGGTGTTCATGCTCGCGTCGTCATTGGAGTCATTTTAAACGAAATATTTCGCATGCAGTGAAATTCTTCGTATATCAGTATATGCACTACAAAACCTTGTGATAAAAATACGAAAGGGAAACCTTGTACGCTGGTGTATGCTGTTCGGGGAAATGATTACAAGTATACATGCATTCACTTATACTTAAAGGATTAGTGTCACACCAGGAATTCGCGGGACGAATAGATTAGATGATCTGGAAAGTCTTTACAATCCGTCATATATTTAAACCATCCTTTTATAATCCTTGCTCTTTTTGTCTGATTTTTATCAGAAATGTACCAAACAAGGTTGTTTTATCGCTATTTGTTGTATTTAAGTAAAATGTAAACAAAAACAAATTAAAAGCCCGCAATGCATGACCCTAATACTAATCCTTTAAACCAGAGTAGCAAAGTGAACTGTGTCTGTGGAGTGTGGACGGTTGTTTTTTTCCACGATGCCTATTTGAAGATACTATACAATCGTGCATGGACAAAGCTGGTAATAAAAAAGATGGAAATTTTAGGACTGAATATATATTCAATTAACTTCATTAGCTTTTTGGCCCCCGCTCCCACACCAAATGTTGCCATTATTTTCCCCACATTTGAAACGTATCCAACAACATTGTCTTGGTAAGATACAGGAATCAAATTACAATTTAAACTGTCACAGAGATAGAGCAATATTGTATTGGCAACCTATGTTCACGACAGTATAGGCTTGGGAAACAAGTATAATAATAATCAATGAAAGCATTTATTTATACAATCAACTGATCAATCAAGCTTTATATTGAAAGAAAAATACATAATGTAACCTGGTGTCCTTTCATAAGAATGCTCTTCCAAGGAGCTATGTCAAAAAATCTATAATTTAAAAACTCCATGCATTTGATATCAAATTTGATTTACTATCAAACCATTCTTAAAAGTTGGTTTACACTATCAATGTGTCTATGATCATTAAGCCAGTTTCCTCAGACATTTCTTACATCTCCTTCAAAACGTAGAATTTACCCATGCAAAATTCCTACTGTGATCACAGAAACTTTGAGAGTGTAAACCAGCTTTAAAAGACTGCATTATGATGAAGTCTTATTTTTCAAAACATTATAAAAAAAGTCACATTATTTGACATCACAATGACAATACAATGATAACATGTGATGACGTAAACGGATTTCTGGAACGAAATCTATACAAGTTTGATATAATAGATGTCTGTCGCGATTTTTCAACGTCTTTTAATAAAGTCACTAGAATTTACATGATCAAAAACAAGAGTCTGTTTTCTTTTCTGGCATGCATACGATTGAAAAGAAAGCGAAAATAAAATCTACTTAACTTGAAAAATTATTGAAAAATTACATACTTGCTTAAAAAACTCATTAATAATTCATGAAGAAAACACAAAGAAAAATCATAAGCGTGTCGTATCTGTATATGTGATACAGATTCATGTTGATTTACATAAACTTCAACTTTGATTTTCTCGGCTTAGACAACGTTTATTTTTAAAA